AGTGTCACCTCTGAAGGAAATGTAGCGTGACTCGAACAGAAAAGAAAAAGAAAATACAAACATCACACCTTTTTAACTTTTCCTCTCTCTTGTGGCTTTCAGGAAAAACCAGAACTGAAAAGTCTTCTCCTCAGCTTAGCTTATTTGACACTTGGCACATCAGTCAGTCCGTGCTAATACAGTATTTGTCAGTGTATGTGAATCAGGGTAAAGTACGACTGTGAGTCAACGTTACGCCTTTTAGGGTCACTGTAGTAGCTGCAGTAAAAAGTCAAAATCCAAAGAATTTGAAACAGCCATTTCTATGCCTCATCAACAATCAGACATTTAAAGCAGCGCGCAGCTCATCATCATCGGGCGTACAGGTCACTCAACAGTGATGTAAGTGTTCCTCGCTGGTATTTTCCAAACTCCACTTCCCAGACCACAGCTGTGCCTGAATCGTCATCATTGTCTCATTTACAAGCTGACATTTTCAACAACTGACCTCTGTTTGGCTGAAACTGCAGCTACAGTCAGCTGTATTTACGGCAACACAACAAGAGCTGTGACCATAAGATCATACTGTATATACTGCTATATGTGTATATATTTATAAAAAATAAAGTGCAATCAAATGTTTCAATAATATTTCCATTCCATATATACACACATATATAAACACATATACATACAGCATATACACATATACAGTATATACAAATATATACATATATTTGTTGGTTGTAATCTCTATGTGTGTATATATATATAAACTGTATGTTCATATATGTGTGTGTATACATATATACACTGTATGTTTATATATGATGTCTATGGATTTGGTGTAGCCCTGATGGTGAAGTGAACAGACACACAGTTAACATTCTAGTTTGACTCTGTCAGCAAATATGTATGTGTATTTAAAATTAAAATGGCTAAAGAACAATAAATACACACAAATCTAATAGTGAGGCTTCCTGTTGTCAGGCTGATGAGGACACAGTGTGTCATATCCTTCCTTCTGCCGAGTTTTGAAAAGTGTTTTTTCTTTCTTATTTTAATTAATTCTATATTATTTGTTTTGTCCTAATACCCATGTGATCCTCTGGATGTGATTGGTGTCGTATAAATACACTCTCCTTGGACCTTGCATTTTGTTCATTTGTGATGTGCTTTAATTTTGGAAGATGACACATGGACATAACTTCTAATTTCTTTACATCTACTGACAATACATGGAGAAACAGGGAGAATAAAAAATATCTTCCAGGGCTAACTCAAACATTTCCTGGAACTTTTAATTTTTTCATACGTTTCCATGACTGGAAAATTAGTTACTCCTTTTCCAGGTTTTCCAGGACATTTGGGAACCCTCATATTGTTAAGAAATCATAATAGTGTGTACTGTGTTCGGCATGTAACAAAATTGTCGTTAATCTGTTCCAATAATAATGTCAGCCTTTGCTCTAAACACCCTCTGTAGTTGCCAAAATGTCCATGTTGTGTAAGCAGAGTTTATGGGGGAACAGTATAAACGCTGTTGCTGTCATCTGCATCTATATCACACAGCAAACAGTTCTAGGCAAAGGTGTTCTATTTCAGCAAATCATTGAGAGGCGGAGAAAAGAAAATCACATCAAACCGTGACAGTTCACAGAAATGTTTCACAGTTTCACAGCTGACATCACGTTTACCTTTGAGTTGAGCATAATCTCAGGTGCCCGGTACCAACGTGTGGCCACGTACTCTGTGAGAAAACCAGTGTGGTCATGGTCGGGATCAGCAACACGAGCCAAACCGAAATCACAGATCTGCAGGGAGAAGACGACAAACACCAACGTTAATACACTATATTACCAAAAGTATTCGCTCACCTGCTTTGACTCATACTATGAACTTAAGTGCCATCCCATTCCTAACCCAGAGTTCAGTATGATGTCAGCCCACCTTTTGCAGCTATTACAGCTTCAACTCTTCTGGGAAGACTGTCCACAAGGTTGAGGAGAGTGTTTATAGGAATTTTTGACCATTCTTCCAAAAGCGCATTGGTGAGGTCACACACTGATGTTGGTCGAGAAGGCCTGGCTCTCAGTCTCCGCTCTAATTCATCCCAAAGGTGTTCTATCGGGTTCAGGTCAGGACTCTGTGCAGGCCAGTCAAGTTCATCCACACCAGACTCTGTCATCCATGTCTTTATGGACCTTGCTTTGTGCACTGGTGCACAGTCATGTTGGAAGAGGAAGGGGCCCGCTCCAAACTGTTCCCACAAGGTTGGGAGCATGGAATTGTCCAAAATGTTTTGGTATCCTGAAGCATTCAAAGTTCCTTTCACTGGAACTAAGGGGCCAAGCCCAGCTCCTGAAAAACAACCCCACACCATAATTCCTCCTCCACCAAATTTCACAGTCGGCACAATGCAGTCTGAAATGTACCGTTCTCCTGGCAACCTCCAAACCCAGACTCGTCCATCAGATTGCCAGATGGAAAAGCGTGATTCATCACTCCAGAGAACGCGTCTCCACTGCTCTAGAGGCCAGTGGCGGCGTGCTTTACACCATTGCATCCGACGCTTTGCATTGCACTTGGTGATGTGTGGCTTGGCTGCAGCTGCTCGGCCATGGAAACCCATTCCATGAAGCTCTCTGCGTACTGTACTTGGGCTAATCTGAAGGTCACATGAAGTTTGTAGCTCTGTAGCAATTGACTGTGCAGAAAGTCGGCGACCTCTTTGCACTTTATACACCTGTGGCCAGGCCAAGGGATTAGGACACCTGATTCTGATCATTTGAATGGGTGATCGAATACTTTTGGTAATATAGTGTATGTTGACTACAACGTAGTACCAGGTTTTAGGGCGTCAGGTTTAATGCTACTTTTCTTGTGGTTAATTTTTAAGAGTATAAAAACAATACACTGTATTACAGTACTTTAAATATGCACATTACAATTTAGCCTTGCTCTACCTTTTACATAGGCGCAAGAAGTAGCTCTTGTGTGCTTTGTACTAAATTTTGTAGCTTTTTTGTAAATATTTTTACTTTTTTTTTCTTTGTTAAATCATGTAATCACTATGGTGCTGTGACCTGCAGATTTCCCCAGTGTGGTGCAAAAAAGGTTTAAGTCTAAGTCCTAAACTTATCAACATGTCTATCACCACAGATAAACACAAGAAATGACACAGGAAACAAGTTTGCACCATCAGCAAAGCCATGTCCTCCAAAAGCACTACCTTCAGATCACAGGTGGTGTTGAGCAGAAGGTTAGAAGGTTTCAGGTCACGGTGCAGGACGTTGGCGGAGTGGATGTACTTGAGCCCTCGTAGGATTTGGTAGAGGAAGTAGCAGATGTGGTCGTTGCTCAGGTGTTGAGTCTTGAGGAGCTTGTACAGGTCCGTCTCCATGAGATCCTGGACAATGTATCTACGCATTCCAAAGTTAAGGGGCACACACTTCGATGTGAACCAATTCATTCATCAGGTTCTAAAAATGTAATGGATACAAAAACTAACTTTTAAATCCACCCAAGTCGTTGGTAAAAATAGAAATAAAGGCCTTGTAGTGTTGTCAATAACAAAATTAAAAAATATTTTAGCATTGATTTATCTAGCTAAGCAGTAGCAGGATGAGCTTTTTGTGCTGAGCTAACGCAAAGTTTCCATTAGGAAACTCGGAATAATAAAGGTTGGAATAATGACTCTTTTATTAGCACAAATTAATTTCATAAAGTCAAGATAAAAGCTTTTAAATATCCATCCATCCATCCATTTTCATCCACTTATCCGTTACCGGGTCTTGGGGGCAACAGTCGCCACCCAAATCACATTGCACCGTACCAACCCCCCAAACCTTCCTGCAGGTGGTGAGTCCACTGGAAGGTACCAACCACCCTAACCGGGATTCGAACTTGCCCAGGAGGGGAACCCTGGGGTTCCACACAGACATTGCCTCTGGGCAAAAGCACCACAGCTTTTAAATAAAAAACATAAATGTATTGTTTAGAATTTTTTTAACACAACCCCAAACTATGTCCTGCAGACTTTAAGGAGTCTGGGAACCAATGGTTGAGAACTATTCTTTTAGTGCATATACAGGATTTCACATTATTGGTTAACTGAGTTGATGTTTATGTAAACATACAAAAGAGTTTTTATTTTCCAACTTTTTTTTAATCTTAGGTTATTCACACTGCATTATCCCACAGCCTGGTGATCAGAAAGGCTGGACTGAGGTGGTGATGTTTAAGGATACACGTCCTTCATCTGATCAATCGTTGGTGTGTGAATGATGTCGTTGATGCCTATGATGTTCTCGTGTTTGAAGCGCAGGAGGATCTTGATCTCTCTCAGGGTGCGTTGACAGTATATTTGATGTTCAAAAGGGCTGATCTTCTTGATGGCCACACGGATCTTGTTGTCCCGGTCATAGGCAGAACTGAAAAAAAAGAAAAAAGACACAAACAACACAGATTGAGGAACATTGGAAAAACCTTTACTAAAGAATATTAATTGTTCTCAATTAATGTTGTTTAAATGGAACAAATCCACAGCTGTGATTCATCGGTTTAAAAATGTTATTGTTTCTTATGTTTAATTATATTTAATTTCTAATATACACAGCCTATTGAGTGAGCCTTGATTAATGGATATCATATTAAAATGAGACAATTATCTATTTGGCCCAAGAGCAAAATAACAATCCACTGACATGAGTGGACAAAAAAAGAGTAGAAAGGACAGATATTACGGGTAGCCATGAAAACCACTTACTTCTCACAAGTGGAAATTTTTAATGTGATGCAGTTATAGAAAGAAATGTTCCTTAGTATATGAATAAAGAAATAAATGGAGGTCTGTTGGGGGAGACTGCTGGTGAACTCTACAGGTCACATGGAAAACAATGATTTCTCAATAGAAAAACAGCACTAATATCCTGCACCATCAGCACTGGTCTACACTATATTACCAAAAGTATTCGCTCACCCATTCAAATGATCAGAATCAGGTGTCCTAATCCCTTGGCCTGGCCACAGGTGTATAAAATCAAGCACTCAGGCATGCAGACTGTGAAACAAGACATTTGTGAAAGAATGGGCCGCTCTCAGGAGCTCAGTGAATTCCAGCGTGGAACTGTCATAGGATGCCACCTGTGCAACGAATCCAGTCGTGAAATTTCCTCGCACCTAAATATTCCACAGTCAACTGTCAGCTCTATTATAACAAAATGCAAGCGTTTGGGAACAACAGCAACTCAGCCACGAAGTGGTAGGCCACGTAAAGTGACGGAGAGGGGTCAGCGGATGCTGAAGCCCCTAGTGCAAAGAGGTCGCCGACTTTCTGCACAGTCAACTGCTACAGAGCTACAAACTTCGTGTGACCTTCAGATTAGCCCAAGTACAGTACGCAGAGAGCTTCATGGAATGGGTTTCCATGGCCGAGCAGCTGCAGCCAAGCCACACATCACCAAGTGCAATGCAAAGTGTCGGATGCAATGGTGTAAAGCACGCCGCCACTGGCCTCTAGAGCAGTGGAGACGCGTTCTCTGGAGTGATGAATCACGCTTTTCCATCTGGCAATCTGATGGACGAGTCTGGGTTTGGAGGTTGCCAGGAGAACGGTACATTTCAGACTGCATTGTGCCGACTGTGAAATTTGGTGGAGGAGGAATTATGGTGTGGGGTTGTTTTTCAGGAGCTGGGCTTGGCCCCTTAGTTCCAGTGAAAGGAACTTTGAATGCTTCAGGATACCAAAACATTTTGGACAATTCCATGCTCCCAACCTTGTGGGAACAGTTTGGAGCGGGCCCCTTCCTCTTCCAACATGACTGTGCACCAGTGCACAAAGCAAGGTCCATAAAGACATGGATGACAGAGTCTGGTGTGGATGAACTTGACTGGCCTGCACAGAGTCCTGACCTGAACCCGATAGAACACCTTTGGGATGAATTAGAGCGGAGACTGAGAGCCAGGCCTTCTTGACCAACATCAGTGTGTGACCTCACCAATGCGCTTTTGGAAGAATGGTCAAAAATTCCTATAAACACTCTCCTCAACCTTGTGGACAGTCTTCCCAGAAGAGTTGAAGCTGTAATAGCTGCAAAAGGTGGACCGACATCATATTGAACTCTGGGTTAGGAATGGGATGGCACTTCATGAGTCAAGGCAGGTGAGCGAATACTTTTGGTAATATAGTGTATATGTGTGTGTGTGTGTGTGTGTATATGGAATGGTTGTTAGTTGCCAATCTGCACTACTTCATAACTATCCTCCCGCAGACAGAGGTGTTTATTGAGCCTCATATGTGCAACGTGATCATCTGTCTCCATACGATGTGAATAATCGATGGAGAGCATGGGGAGAGTGCAGCTCACTGGGGAGCGTGCTGTCACTGTATTATTATATCTCATCAAAGGTCACGGTGTCAGCCGCTGCTGCTCTGGTTCATCTGATAGTTCAAGGACTGTTTGGCTCAGCAGCTGTGGGTTTTATGGTTACAGCAGCACTTTGACAGCATTTCTGCTGCAGATGTCAGTGTCAGGACAACATGGAGTTGTTGTCCTGGGTAGGGGCAGTGGTGGCCTAGTGGTGAAGGAGGCGGACTTCGGTCCGGAAAGCCCCAGGTTCGAATCCACCAACTAAAGGAAGCGGACTTCGGTCCGGAAGGCCCCAGGTTTGAATCCACCAACTGCCAGGTTGCCACTGAGATGCACTGAGCATGGCATCGTCCTCAAGCACTGCTCCACTGTGTGGGTTTTATGGTTACAGCAGCACTTTGACAGCATTTCTGCTGCAGATGTCAGTGTCAGGACAACATGGAGTTTCAACACTAACTAACAGTCATTTCAAGACAAAGTAGCGTTTAGCTCTGATGCTACATGCAAATGAAGTAAACTAACAACAGAAATTAGGCTAGTCACAAATGTTAACCTTTAAACATTCTATCTCAAAACTCGTTTTCACATCGAGAGCATTTGGTTACCACTGTGTATAAAATGTGCTACACCACGGTTTCACCCCCAGGGGGTGCCAGAGCACAAAATGTGCTACACCACGGTTTCACCCCAGAGCATTTCAGAGGTGGTAAAAATGAAGAAGAAAAACAAAGCGATTGCTAGATAACATGTAAACTCACTGGAGTAGAAGGAATAAATCAACCAAAAATGTCCAACGTCTGAATGCTCCAAGCTGTACTAATAAAGATGTCTTGCCTACAGACTCTTGACTTAAATGTTTAATATTAACAATAACTAATAAACAACTAGTTAAAATTAAGTATTTTTTTACAAATAGTGCCCCCTGTATTTGTATATATTTACAAAAAATAAAGTGCAATCTAATAATTCAAAAATATTTCCATTCCATATACACACATATATATAAACATACAGTATATACATATAAACACATGCGTACATATGTATATGTATATATAAACATATAGATACACACACACAGAGAGGGAGATTACTACCAACATATATATATATTTAAATATATTTTGGTTGGTTGTAATCTCTCTATATATGTGTATATACTGTATATATGGGGTTATATTAATATTAATAACTAATAGTAGTTAAAATGAAGTCATTTTTACAAATAGCGCCCCCTGCCATCAATGACCTGGTACACGGTTGGAGGACAGTGTGAAGGCGTGTTAATCTGTTCACCATTCAGATGTTTCCTTTGAATTATTAGTTTGATGGAATAAAAAAAGAAAAGAAAATCTTTCAAAGTCAGAACAGCGCTGCCCTCAAACTTGCAACAAACTGTCGACTGGAGTCATGTCAGCTCACAGACAAAGTTTTTTTTTGGATGAGGCTGTAAAATAAACATTGCATCAAATAATTGACACGTCTCATTTATTTTTACGAGTCCGGACGAGTGTGAAGTTTACAAAGTAGAGCATTTTGGAACAGGATGCCAGGTGCAGCGGATGACGGTAGTTTTGCTTAAAGCTACATTCAAGATCACACGCGCAGATACATTCATCACTGTGACAACACTGACGACTTCTCATCTCTGTACATCAATGTGCAGCTGAATGAAAGAAAGTCTGTGGAACACCTCCTCAAAAAAACATTTTATATACGTCTTGCCTTAAGGTTGTGAGGATTTGTTTTTGATTAATTAAAATGAACATGTTTGGCTTCTGTTATTGTTAAAAAAGGGTCATTTATTATCTCTACTACAGCCAAGTGGAAATTAAAAAAAATGCTATTTAGAGATCGCAGACAATGGTGGTTAGAGGGCAGACTTGAGTATAAATTTAAGTCTAAATTCAATTTTTTGAAAGTTAGTCTGAGGTTAGGAGAGATGCTGAAGGATTCAGATTAGACTCATACACTGGAACAGAAACAGAAATAGCTCGGAAGAAAAAAGTTTGTGCGGAACGGTGAGCTTTTCTTTTGGTGGCAGGCGGAGTACAAATTTATCTGTGAATCTGGGTTCACTCCAGACATGAGCTTCACAGACAGGTGAACGTGAGATAAAACCACAGCGGCTTCAGTCCAACTCCACCACCATTCGCCTCAACTAACATCAGAGGACACTGGTGCACTCCATCAGCGCTGAGGCCCAGCAGAGTGAGAAGTCACAGTTATCTTCATTGATTTGCTGGTTTGTAAATATTACAAGAACGCTGTTAATTATTTTTATCACCGCAACTCACAGTTTAATCCAAGGGGTGAGACCAGGCTAGGTGTGTTGATAAGCAGAGGAGTTTGGAATAAAAACATGCATGAAGTCTCTAATAAAACAGTTAGACTTTAATTGAAAATGACAAACTAAAGCAGTGAACCCTGCTGGTTTATCACTCCATGGTACTGGTGCAGATATTTAGTTTTGTAATGAAATTCCCAGGGAAAACATCTGCAGTCACAATATCAACTAATACAGAAAATCCTAAAGCGAATTAATTAATTAATTAATTTAAGCATGGTATAACAACTAAGCCAGCCACTAGGGTACACAAAGCAGTGTTTTATAGTGCCGTCCCAAGCCCGGAAAAATGGTGAGGGTTGCGTCAGGAAGGGCATCCGGCGTAAAACTTTTAGCCAAATCAAATATGCAAATCAATAAAACAATTTCCATACCGGATTGGTCGAGGCCCGGGTTATACAACAACCGCCAACAGTGCTGTTGACCAGCAGGGCACTGATGGTCAGAGACAGAGAAGAAGAGGAGGGCGTATGGTTAGGAGAAAAAGAGAAAAGATGAAGAATAGAAGTGTTAGTCTGAAGTTTGGAACTTTGAATGTAGGTACAATGACAGGGAAAAGTAGAGAAATAGCTGATATGATGGAGAGAAGAAGAGTAGACATTTTGTGTGTGCAGGAGACCAGGTGGAATGGCAGCAAGGCTCGAAACATTGGAGGAGGCTACAAACTGCTTTATCATGGTACAGATGGGAAGAGAAATGGAGTAGGGGTGATCCTAAAGGAAGACTATGTAAGAAATGTGGTAGAGGTGAAACGAGAGTCAGACAGGTTAATGTGTGTGAAGGTAGAAATAGAAGGAGTGATGATAAATGTTGTTAGTGGTTATGCCCCACAGGTGGGCTGTGAGTTGGAAGAAAAGGAGAAGTTCTGGAAGGAGCTGGATTGGATGATAGAGAGTATCCCCAGGGGAGAGAGAGTGGTGATTGGAGCAGACCTAAATGGTCATGTAGGGGAAGGGAACAGAGGAGATGAGGAAGTGATAGGTAGGTTTGGTGTTAGGGAGAGAAAC